TGAATAAGAAGTTTAATGGGAGCAAAAGTAAATTATATAAAGGTCCAAGAAAAGGTTTATGAACTCTATTGTGAAATAACTATTAAATGCTAAATGCTTAGATTTGAAATTATTTTCGACAATGGACCAAGAAAAAGACGATACTTAGTACATATTGGTATTAAGATCTATTGTATAAACTTAATAAAATGTTTGAACGTGTAAAGGATTTTACCGTGTTAAACATGAATTGAAGGACTTTGAAAGACTTTTGACCCGTATGTATAAAACTAAGTAAATGTTTGAACTAAGTATAAGCTAGGCTAAATACAAAGTCAAATATGAAAGTCTGTAATAGAGACTTTCAACCATATCACACAACAAACAGTTTAGCAAGACTCTGTGAAACTGAATGAGCTAAAATGTCACATGGATGGAATAAGATTGAGAATTACTCTGCAATTAAATCCATCATGTACACTGTGATATGGAATCGTCGCACGACTTACTTGCTTATAGCATGTGAAGTATGTATGTAGTACCAATCAACCTGAATCTATGTAATAGATTGTTAGATTGTGGCCAAGAACATCCAAAGTACTTGGATAAGTAACAGGATGAGTTCTTGACTTGTGGAAACAAATATAATTTGAGAATTGATGTTGCAAGCATAAACCTTAACAAGGATTAGATCCTTAGCAAGGAAGCCATTTATAAGCACGAACTAACATTAAGTCGTGGCTTGAGAATGGTAACATGGACGTGCATCCATGTGTAATGTGCAGGAATTTAAGAAAAATTTCCATGATCACAAGTGATTAGGGTATCCCAAATCATTATGAGCTGTATGGAATGAAACCCAAGAAAAGCACCATCAGGAAGTCTATTAAAATATATGTTGAGAATATTGTTGCCTTAATGGCGATAATAAAGAAGATGTTCTATGGAAAGTTTGTTGTTGAACGTTAATGATTGTAGGTTGTCAAGTTGAAGGCCTCAATCATGAAAATGAGTGGGAGCCATCACTTGGAAAATAAATCCTAAATCACATATAATCCATGAAACTCTCAAATTTTATCATCTTATTATTAAAGTGATCAGTAATGAAGATGCTAAGATTAGCAAAATAGTTATAACTAAACCTATGCAATAAGTGAACGACAACATTCACAATTGCATGAAAGAAATCAAGCATATTAGATATGGGTGTGCTTTTTATAGATGTTTTATAAAGAGTGATACTCTTAAAACATTCGGAAAAAAATCATTTATCATAAGATGAACCATTCAAGTTTTGGAGTAATTAATTTTCATGCAATTCAAATCACTCCGTTTCTATTTAATTGTGGTTCAGAATTAAATAATGAGTCCATTCGATCTTAAAAAATATTCAAAATAGGGTATCAAGAAAATGTCTTGGATAAAGAAACACCTATTAATTGAACATTGAATATTTTAATCGAAAATTATCCCTAATCAAGGCCATTTATTTTGTGGACGATTAATGACCATTAGAGATTAGTGTGTAGTATGATTTATAGAACCGTTTCTTGTGCTATGAGGACATAAATTATTTGCACAAGTATTGGTTTAGAACCATACTAGATCGACCTATGAGAATACTTTAAGAGATTCAAAATCGTTATAAGTATATCTCTCATTATTGCTATCGGAACTCTTTTCCTTGACCATGAGTATTGTGAGGTCTCTTGTTTGAGTACTAGTCCGTTTTTGATGTCGGTCAAACGTCTGCCGTAATTAGGGATTATAACGACGGCTATCAGGCGACTAGGTCCTCTTAGTAAGAGAAGCTACATTACAAGACTGGAAAATTCCCCCTACTAACAATAGGGAACGTGTCTTGTTGTTTACAAGGCCTCTCGAAGAGCGAGACTGTGAAAATGCATGGCCGTGGTCAGATGGATTTTAGAAATCATCTGCTTATTGACAGTCAAACTCATATTTTGAGAAACACTTTTTGACGTAATAGGGATGACAAATAATCTTACCCCATAGTTCGTGAAGAGACATGAAGAGACATAGGAAAGTGGGAGATTGAAAGGAATGGTGTCCTTCAAACAAGTGTATTATTCTGATAGTGGGTTCATAATTATTAGAAAGCTAATATATTCAGTAAGGTCAAGTGATCAGAATGCCTGGGTTGAGGCCTCTTCCAATCAGTACTACTAATGCATTTATTACAGCTTAATCTTGACTGAACCCTTCGGGTCACACCCAAGCAATGAACGAACCGACACGACAAATTGATTCGGAAGAAATTAATGAGTCTCCTGAGTAATTAATATTTAGACGTCGGAATTTCGAGCTTGGAGCGTCGAAACCGAGCGTCAAAGAATCTCAAATGTCGAGCCAAAGTTTAGGATTTGGCAAGACGGGAAAATGCATCAAGTAACAAGTAAAATCCTAGCCACATGAAAGGCTAGAAGAGTTCGCCAAATAGGAGCGTGCCACGTGGCAGCACACATGGCAGCGTGCCATCTGGCAGCCCACTTGGCAGCCGCCAAGTGGCAGCGTCCCATGTGGCAGCGCGCCACGGTGGTGGTACGCGAGCAAGGGGCCGTGGACCTGGGTGACGGGTCATGGACACGAGCCAAAAGAAAGTGGCTCAACCGAACCCAACTTGGGGCTCAAGGTTAGGTGAAACATGGTTAGCTCACAATGCATGTGAGTTGCCTTGGGGACCAAGTGGGAAAATGGTCCTCACCTAACCATGTGACACTTGTTACTTGTTCCTTGGTTTATTTAACTAAGGGTTGAATTCATCAATCTTTCCATGTGGGATCTTTTTGTGAAAAAGTCCCACATTGAAAGATGAGTGGAATTCACAATCTATCCTTCCTTATAAATAGCCAAAGCATGGCTTGAGAATTCTTTGCTTGAGTAGGAGTTTAATAGGGCATTGCCATTGCAAAAACCCTTGAATTCATATAATACTCGGGCTTTGGTCGGGCCTTGCTAACTCCGGGGAAACGGACCTTAAAGTCGGTAGTCGTTATGCGGGTGGATTTCCTTTGGAGGCCTTCGTGTTTTCGGGGCTTGCTTTCATGTAAGAGCCCAATTGGTCAGGCGAAGAACGCGACAAAGGTATATTTCCTATTTTGCCATTTTGTGTTTATTTTATGCATTGTGATATTAATTATTGCGAGTGTGATCCTTGGCACGGGTCTTTTCCGCGGAGAGTAGGACTCACCAAAACCCAACACTTACAAGCAATGGTCTTCGACGATGGCGTTCAGGAGGTACCATGGAGGTCGTCACAGCAAAACACAGCAACAAAATCGGTTACTCTAGAGACGTGTGCTCGATGGTGCAAGATACGCGTTTCTTAACTCTTTTATTTGTTTAACTAACGCTAATTTGCAGGTATCGGCGTTACAAGAATGATTTAGGGTCGCATAACGCTTTAAATCATTCTCCGTCAATATCGCTACTTTGACTTTTGTTTTTGAAACTTGGGTTTCTCCAAACTTAGTCAAAGTGGGGGCTTGTGTAGACACCCAAATGTGTCTCCCCAAAACCAAACCCAGTGATGAATACCTTTCACGTCACTTGATTATCGAACAAAGTGAAAGTGTGAAAAGTCTAATGATGCGATTTTTTTTATTAAAATATCTCTCTTTTTGTCTTTGAAAATATTTCTTTTTATACTCTATTTATGAAAAGAGGCAGTCCAATTTAGTTTGGTCCATGATAAGGGTCCATTAGTAGTGTACTTGGATTGGGCTCGCAAAGAGCTTTCCAACGATATATTATAAACTCAATTCCGATGAATAATGAGGAAGTTATGGCCAAAATACTAAATTGGGCCCGAAATAAATTTTATATGCGGCCCATTGATCTAGAGGAGAGCCTATTAATTAATATTATTCCAAAATTTATTTGGATTGACTTTAATCTTCTAGAATAATCTAGAGGTTCTTTTAAATTCTAATGGAATTAGGATTGATAATTTTATTTTGAAGAGTTTTATTTGGAATAAAATAAGTGTTTTATGAAAAAACTAGTTTTAATTGATAAACATGGAATTTGCTGCTTAATCATATTAAGAAGAGGATTTTGCGTACAAAGCACGTCTTATTTCTGACTCTTCGCAAGGCGACAAGCCTGTGGCCTGGCGCTGATACCTGTCGCTTGGCGCTGGTGCCTGTGGCCTGGCGCTGATACCTGTCGCTTGGCGCTGGTGCTTGTCGTTCGCGATAGGAGGTTTTTTATTCCGAATGGAACTCGATTTATTTTCTATCGGTTTCCGAACTATTTTTCTACAAAATAAGGTTCTTGACCCCCGTTTTTAATCATTCACAGTCATCAACAATCTCTAATCTCTCTCTCTAAAGCTAGCAACTTATTCCCTCTCTATTCTCTTTCTAAACCTTATTTTACAAAATTCCACATTCACAAGTTCTAGACACACCTAGTCAAGTTCGAAGTTGCCTTCTCCCTAAACGTGAAAGGTTGATAATTTTTGAGGGTTTGGTCCCAAATCCCTATTTTAATTATTTAATTTAATTGTTTGATTTAATATCTTCCTTGAAGTTACTAACGCGTGTATTTTGTTATTAGAAAGAGATTAGTGGCATCCAAGTAATTATTTGCTTTAATTATTATTATTTTGATATAGAAATCATGCTTTGATTATTTTGATTCCTAATATCATGTTAGGATGTCTTTATGATTACTAGTAATATGTTTAGGATAATAATTAAAATTTCTAATACTTCTTCCGTTCTATTAATATTGCAACATGGAGGAACTTACGCATGCACATTTTATATGCTAAATATCTATAAATGTGTAAGATTAAAAATTATAAAAAGTTGAGATTATGAAAGTATTTTATGAGACGAATCCACCAAGATTTCACATTACTATATTTTGCTTAACGTATAAATCATATTACATGGTCAAATAAGAGTAATGAATAATGCATTGTTGCAATAATAACTGTACGGAGGAAGTATCATGTATGTTTCTAAAGTCGAGAGTCCGAGAGTCTATTAAATCGAATGTGACCAAAAATAGCAAAATATGCGGTGGAATATTTTTTCATTATCATTTAGTTTCCCCTTAAAAATGGCAGTGAAAGTGACAGAGAGCGGGAACGCGTAGCTCTTTCTCCTTCATCTCTGCTTTACTTTGCTTGTGCTGACAGTCATTTCTCATCTTTCGCTTAAATACCAAGCCATTTCCCATTTCTCGAGATCTGAGCTTCTTTCTTTCTCTCTTTTCTAGCTTCCTCTTTCACTTTCCCTCTTCTAATTTTCCCAGGTAATTTTTGTTGTTTATTGGGTCTTAATTTCATTCTTTCATACTAGTTGAATTTGTTTTATTTTTTCGATCTGATTATCATGTATTGATTGTTTTCTATTAGTTTGTTTTTTTGTTTGTAGTTTTTTCAAGTGTTTGCAACCCTTTTGTTAGTTACCGTTGGGTTAATTTTGTCAACCAAATAGGTATTTAGATTTGGTTGGTTCGTCTTGAGTTATATTCGAGTGATAGTTATTCGAGTGATGAGTTATTTGGCTTGTATTGGGTTGGGTCGGCTCGATTTTGATTTTCAAAATGTCCAATTATTCATCATAAATAAAATCAACTGCGAGTACTGTATAATTTTACTGTACTAGAGCTAAAGCACAGCATATGCTATTCGCGAAGGAAAACAAAATAAAGTTATTGGAGTCCTTTAACAAAAAAAAAAAAAAAAAGGAAGGATTTGAGTGTTTGAATTGTGGTTAAACATGTCTACCATTATAATATTGATTGATTTTTGGGTTGTGCCGGGTCAATTACGAGAGGGTCTAAATCGAATGACCTTAGTTTGGGTCTGGATACTAGATCGAGGTGAATTAATTGCTTTTGTCCGAGTCAATTTTGTCAGGTGAATTAATTACTCAGGTGCGGAGGTCTTTATTTTAAGACTGGAGGGAGGGGCCAGGGCCAAGGGTTGTTAAACTGAAGATTTGAATTTAATATTTCAAAATTTTAGCTAATCTATTTTAGTCCACATGATTTGGGCGTCATTTTTAGATTTGGTTTAAAAAATTACAATTCACATGTAATGCAAATTGTAGTTCTAGATACATTTTATATTTCATCATTAGTTAAATAAACTAGATTAATTTTTTTAAAGTAGTACTTCCAATGGTCAAAGATCGAATTTTGTTGCTAACTTGGGAGCATTTATTTTAATTATATCTTTGACTTCATTGCAGTATAACTGCTGTAGTTGTTTCATAACATTTGAGGTTTCTATTTCAGGTAGAAAACATGGTTTCTCCCATTGAGACTGAGACTGAGAAACAGACACAGGAGAATGAAAAGCCGACGTACAAGTACTCCAGGCATCCGCGTCTGAATGAGAGAATTCTTTCGTCCATGACCCGAAGATCAGTTGCTGCACACCCTTGGCATGATCTTGAGATAGGTATATCATTCACTCTTATGATCATTCAATCGTCGGGTTTGGAACATTGGACCCTTACATTTAGTTTATTTTGTTTCGTTTCTGTAGTACTTCTTCATGTTTTTGATGTTGGTTTTTATGTAGGTCCTGGAGCTCCTGTAATCTTCAACTGTGTAAGAAACTTAGACTTTAGTTTTATAAGCTAATTCTAATTGTGATTAATACATTGTGGATTAGTTATCTTTCTTTTGTTCTGTTTTGTTTGTTTTGTGGTGGATAATTTTTCAACAGAAGAGATGTTAAACTGGATATGCTTGTTAATTGTGAAATTGTGTAGTCTTTGAGAATTAAATTACGGGTTCGAGTTTTATATGATCTCCCCTTACACCTCAATCAAGGATGCACCACTTTTCATGCGTTTAATTAATATTGGTATTGATGTTGAAACTGAAATGTTGAATATTCGTTCTTGAGGGACACAGTTTAAGGCCATACGGGTTACATTTCACTATTTCAGTATACCTTACCCTATGGCCTACTTAGGATGGAAACCTCTTGAAACGATTTTTGATAATATTGGTGTCGATGTTAAAAGTTCAATTATGATAGAGACCCGAGGAACATTATTGTAAATTAAGATTCGAATGAAGGGAAAACAGAAAATCAATACTAATTTGATAAGGAAGCTACTGCACTTCATTTCGAAATTCGAAGTGGTCATCAAAAGATATAAAAAATTCATTTAGTGTATTGAGTTCTTGTTTGAGCAAGTAGTAAAATGTTGATTAGTTGCTATGAAATCACAGCTTTGTGACTTTATCTGTTGTGTACATGCTGATCAAATAGCTGAAGAATTGTTTACCGGATATACCTTCCTTCAATGATAGAACATTGTAATAGCAGGATCCTGAATTGCTCCACTAGTGTACCTTTTTTGCAATAAGTTTTTTTTTTTTTTGTTTTTTTGTTTTTTTTTATCTTTTCCTTTTCTCTAAACTTCTGTAACTAGTAGGTGTCGTTACTCATGTATTGGCACTTGGCCTCTTATGAATACCCTTGTTTCCTCATTGCTTGCTAAGCAACCCAAGCACACAGGACTGAGAATTTTGATCTTGCACAGTCTTTTTTAGGTGGATTTTTTTTTAATAATGTTAATTTGACTCTATAATTGACATGTTTATACATCCAGGATCAACAAAATATACATCTACTTGGTCCTGTTTAAGGCTAAAAACCTAACAAAAGAAAAAGAATTCAATGAAGGACCTTTGTTTTTTGATGAAATGATATCACATTAATGACATTTTTTTGCTATCCTCGTGACGTCGCATTTTTTGAGAGGAAAAATTCATGACAATAGGCTGTTATTCTTCTGGAAGCCACAGTTTATAAAAGGTTATTATAATGGGACAAGTTCAACTTTGTATGTAAAGTATTTGTGTAAATCCCGTGGAATTTGCTGTAGTGTTTGGTTGAAGCACACATTATCTTCTATAATCAAAGTTCTATTCTAGGAAATTAAAAACTTTTTCTAAGCCCTTTGTCTGTGGCAGTAGCTATATAAAACCTATAGTGGCTTTGCTGTTAGCTTTGAACCACAAATATGCAATATGAGAATCTCTCGAGGGTTTATGCCAGAAGATGACCTTAGGATTTTAAGATTGATTGGCATTTAAAAGAAGAAATATTAACATTATACGTTTGGTTAGTATCTGCTGATGTACCGTTCTTGAATGCAATTTTCATTAGATAAATTCATATATCTAAATTCCAAAGTAAAGCTTACAAAATTGAAGATCTATAACACTTCATTTATTTTGTTAACTAGAATTGATTCAGTATGAAGGTATGGTTCCACAGCTTTCACCATTCATGCATCTTTGACTTCTGCAGGTCATTGAAATAGCTAGAGGGAGTAAGGTCAAATATGAACTAGACAAAAAGACTGGTTTAATTAAGGTATGAAATGAGCTTGGTTGTATTTATTATTTGTTATGGTTCATTCAGAATAATATTTCCATTTAACATTACAAGTTATTCTCGTGCAGGTTGATCGTATCCTTTATTCATCAGTTGTATATCCCCACAACTATGGATTCATCCCTCGAACACTTTGTGAAGACAGTGACCCCATGGATGTCTTGGTTATCATGCAGGTACTTTGTAGATGAAACATGTAGGATACATATATGATATATGTGCGTTTATTTTATTTACTTGTGTTTTTGTATCAAAGTACTTTTGCAGTCAATTTAGTGTTCATATGTTTCTTTAACAACAAAAGATAAATTCTCAACGGGTCATGTCAAAATGTCAAATTGAGATAAAGCTTTGCTGTCGTAGCTTGTGGTCTGCCCATTAGATCAATATAGTTCTGTTTTTCAATTTGTTGACTAGCATTTACTCAGATTAGTCACCAGTCATTAGTGTAGCCAAAAGTGCTGCAGATTCTTGTATTCTTAATGAGCTGTAATGCTGACTAGCTTACCATATAATTTAATATCACATGATGAAGATGAACCCATATTTTTTTTCTTATAGTTTTATTGACGTCTTTACAGTTTGATTCTGAAATTTTCATGTTTTGTTACATCTTTTGTAGAGTTTGTTAGCTGTATTATCATTTTACATTAGGAGCTTGGGTTATAAAATTCTGTAAATTTATTGTTTTCCAAATTTTTAGGAGCCTGTTCTTCCAGGATGCTTCTTGCGGGCAAAAGCTATTGGATTGATGCCTATGATTGATCAGGTTCCTGTGTTCATCCTGGAGTAAAATTCTCTCACATTTAAGAATGTTTGCTAACTATTCAATGTACAGGGGGAGAAAGATGACAAAATAATTGCTGTTTGTGCTGACGATCCAGAGTACCGACATTACAATGACATCAAGGAGCTCCCACCACATCGTTTGGCTGAAATACGTCGCTTCTTTGAAGATTGTATCCTCTCAATTTGCTTTTTGTTTGTTTTTGAAGTTTCCATTCATTTCCTATTACAATCTGTAGGCTGTGGCAGTTTCTTCTTCCTTTTGATTGCTATTACTACCGGAATGAGTGCCTAATTTTGAGAATCTCTTTAATTCAATTTGTTTTTGCCCTTGACGATTTCTTCAGATAAGAAAAACGAAAACAAGGAAGTTGCGGTTGATGATTTTCTGCCTTCTGCATCAGCTCACGAGGCAATCCAGTATTCCATGTATGTTTTGCTCCTCTACAAATTAAAAAAAATAAAAATTTCACTCTGCTTCTCATTAAGTACTTCCGCTTGGGGTCTGACACTTATTAAGGTACAAAAGTACTTGTGTAGACGTGTAGATATGTCCTATGGTGTTTTTATTGATATCTGAGGAGAGAGGGGGTGGGGGAGTATATAATTTTGTGTTCTCGTGTTGTTTTTGTCAATCGAAAAGCACATTGCTAATTGAGAAAAATCTGTAAGCTATCTGCCAATTGTTAGATAGGGCCATAATATCTGCAGTTTGTGTTGTTTTTATCTCACATCATCCTTTTATTGTGAAGGGATCTTTATGCAAATTATGTTGTGGAGACATTGAGGCAGTAGTATTCCTTCATCGACTGCATATACGTGGAAGTTTTGTATTATAAGCTTCTTATACTGAAATTTTTTCAAATGGCTGTATACCGTCTTCTGTTGAAATGAGAAACAGTAATGTAGAAACCTTGGTAACACTCATTAAATGCTTATTATCCAAGCTGAATGCTTACATGTGTGTAATAACAATCATAAGCGTTGTAATAGTCCTCAATTTCTTATATGAATTGCCTTTCTTCAGTATGCTATTTTTTAATTATTTACTCCATTCGTCCCCAATTGATAGTCACTTTTGTCATTTTTGGTGACTCAAAATGTTAGCCACATTTGCTTTTTTCAAGTACCATTAATATTATTTTTCTACCAAAATTCTCAAACATTTGCAAAAATATTTGTGCAAATTTAACTTTTCCATATAAATTTTTACTTTCTCATATACTTTAATTACTTTCTCTTTCTACTTTTTTATATACCCAATGTAAATTTACTTTTTCAATGTACTTTCTTTAATTCTCCTTAATTCCCGTGATTTTTCTTCAAAAATTACTATCAATCGGGGACAGAGGGAGTAATTGATTGTTATTATGACCTCGTATTATTTTTTAATTATTTAATTGATTGTTATTATGACCTCGTATTATTTTTTAATTATTTAATTGATTGTTATTTTAACCTTGTATTCTGTGGTTTTGGGGACTTTTATTTATTTATTTATTAAATAAAAATTTATTCATAAATAAAAAAAGTCATATGGCATCTACAAAGAGATTTGAATATAATAAATACATGACAATTGAATCAAATAAAAACATCCTTTCAGCAGAGTTACGATTGTTGTTGCAAATCGTCTATTCTTCGTATCATCTATTATGTCGTCGTGAATTACAACCTTTTTTGACAAGGGGGCCTATCGATCTGTTGTAGTAGTGAATAAATTTTTCGTTTGATTCATCTGATTGTTGTCGAAAGATTAACCACTTTCTCGATTCTGCACAAATTTTTACTCATGAACAATTGTACCATATTAAATACAAATAATAAAGACAAAACTAGAACAAAGTCCACCATAGGGGACTTGTTGTTTTTGGTATTTTTACCCTGCTACATGGTTCCATCAGAGCGTGACATGTGTCACCCTAAGAAGGCCTCCAAATGGACCAACCAGGGCTTGACACGTGACAGACAAATACCCTTAAAGGGCCCATTTCCCGAGTTTGTCGCAAAGGCCATCAACCCTAAGATAGGGGCACAAACTTCTATAACCCTATAAATAGGGAGATTTCCCCAATTATTAGGGCACATTAAAATCATTACATCATTTATTAATCTCGAAAACAGAGAAAACACCTGATCTCGAAATCCGAGAAGATATTTACTTTCTACACGTTTTCACTCCGAATGTTTACTAAATGTCACACTCACTTTTGGGTCGACCTAGGCAAGGCCGTTGACCACCCAGCATAGGCGCGCAAGGCTTTCGGGATCCTACTTGCCTACACAAGCAAGTGTGCGCTCGATTAAGGAAGAACGAGCCAAGTGAGGCTAGAGTGGCTCACTACCATGTCTAAGGCATGTGAGGTTATCATGGATGACCTCCGGGTGCTTAGATCTTGGTGCTAGCAAAGCATCGGTCAGCTAGGCCTTGGGCCTAGGGCTAGCACGCGCGCGCACGAATAGATCCTCGGAGTGTTTGCATGAGCAAAACTCCATAACAACCTTTGATACTTATTGAGGGGGCTTATTAGGACCCTAATAGATGATAAATGGCCTTAGGGCTGAGATTGGGTTCAAGGATTGGGCTTGAGAGCCCATTATTGTGTTACTGTCAGTTGGGTTTTCACTAGTACTTCAGGGCCAGATAAAAAAAAAGCTCTTTAGGGGGCGAGTGCTCACTCAAGGGTTAGGGGCTGACTTAAGGGTGGCCTTAGGGCTAGGGGCCTTGGGCATGGTCTTAGACATAGGATAGCCTATGGAGACTATAGCACACTTGGATGGCTATGGTGGACACTTAATAGGACAGACCGACTCGATAGTCCTGGCTAGGAAGGATGCGGGCTGATTAACAAAGGCTGAGGGCTTAGTACAGTGCATGCTTGCTAGTGGTGCGTAGTTTGACTAAGGGATGCTCTTGGGATCATGTTATGGTGTCTGTATGGTACTAACCATAGTGACTCCGGCATGGAGGAACGAGTGCGGCCCGGGTCAACGATGTCTTTGGTGACTTCGACGAAACCATGGACTTACGCGGCCACATGCTCGATGCTAAGGAACGACCTCGGCTTGTAGACTGTCTACCCAAAGCTCTCCTTGGTGGACTACTTATATTAGGGACTCCTTGACGGTTATGCTTAGTCATCGTGGTTGCATGCGGTTGCCTTTATCTAGGGATTGGCTAAGTAGTGGGGATGGTGGGCGGTTATAGGTAACCACCCACGTTGCACCACTCTCCCTAAATTGTTGGGATGGTTATGCTAAGGTGGAACATGGGTAAGTATGGTTCCTAAAATATAGGACCATGATGTTAGTGGGTTGGCTAACGGTTATCTTGACCATGCCCCTGACGTTGTCAATCGGAAACACGGTTAAGCCACACCAAAAGCCGGTTCCTATAAAATAGGAGCACCAGAGTAGTGGGGTGTAACCATGGACGTGGGTAGTTATTCTAAAAGGATAAAGCCACGTCATCTGGAAGTTACCCCACTCACTTAGTGGCCCTAGAAAATAGGAGCACTAAGGGAGTGGGCGGTTACGCTAATCAGGCGGTTACTCTTACTAGGCGGTTGAGCGCCACTTAAGCACACTGATGCATGTCCCCTAAAATGTAGGAACATGGCATAGTGGGGTGTGACGGTTACCAGGCGGTTACAAAAGCATGCTGAACGTGGATAACCCCCTTGACTACGTGGACAAGTCCAGATTCATCCAAGTAAGCATCCAAGTAGTGGGTAGTTATAAGATCATGGGTGTAGTGGGCATAGTGGGCAGTTATCCTATCTGACTGGGCTGTAGTCAGTGCCTATAAATAGGCTAAGACATTCATTTGCTTGGCATCGAATTTTGGGAGTTCTAGAGAGAGATTATAGAAAGAGAAACTCCTGTAGTTTGTAAGCCATGAAATTAATAGTGTTTAAGTCGTTGATGCTTGTCTCTTATCTTGTGTGCATTCATTCTTTAGTGCTTGAGTGTTAGGCTGGTTTAGACTCGGTCTAGACAACATCATGGACCCTCTTAGGTCCCTAACTTAAAGAAAAAAATGTTTGTCCACAAATTATCCCGTGATGATGAGTGTCATTTATGGCACTCATAGGGTAGTCTTTTAGGGTTATTTCTTTCCCCTTTTCATGCTTTCTTATCTTATTTTTGGTCCTTTTTCCTTTAGTTTCTCTTTTTCCTCTTTTCTTTATGATTCTCGTGTTTTTATCGTGTTTTCCTTTATTTGTCTCTTTTTCCCTTTTATTTCCTTTCTTTGTGTACTTGTGTAGGTTTTGTGAGAATCACTTTGGCAAAAGATTCAATTTGGGACTTTAATGATCAAGCAAGGAAGAAGCATTTGGCTAGAGAGGGCTTATAGAGGGCTTGGAGAGGCCTCGGAGAGGTTTCCAAGGCAAATCCAGCAGGCCGCGGGCGTAGGTCATCTTGCCGCGGGCGCGGGCCCATGTTACTCAAAATTGCCAAAACTTGGCAGGAACTTGCCGCGGTTGCCCCGCGGGCTATCCGCGGGCGCGGGTAAAATGGAGAGGCCGCTCCATTCAGAGAGACCGCAGCCCCCTGATCAGGCTTTGGGAGTAGGGGATTAGTCGCGGGCGCGGGTTTCACTGCCGCGGGCGAGGATCTCTGTTGCCGCGGGCGCGGGGTCTTCCTTGATAGCCCGCGGAGGGTTCCGTACCCATTTTCCCGCGGGCGCGGGTCTATCGAGAGAGGGCGCGGGAGCTGCCAATTTCTTCTTTGCTTATAAATAGAATTGTATTTTCCTTTTTGAAGGGGGACTTTTTGATAATTTTCATTAGCTTAGTTTTAGAGAGAGAATCTAGAGAAAAGTTAGAGAGAAGTTCTTGGTTTTGGATTTGTAACTCAACATTTGATCAATCAAGTTTGGATTTCTTCATTTTCAATCATCAATATTAGTGAGAATCTCTTCCTTCTTTCATCTTTTACTTACTTGGTATTTGATTTTTGTTTGTTACTTGTTCTTCTTTGGATTTGAATTTGATATTGTTGATTATTTTTGATTTCTCTTAGATTTTGATATAGAAATGAAGATTAAAGCACTTTCTAGTTATTTGTTCTTGAATTTCACCATGATTAGTGAGTAGATTAGTTGTTAGGGAAAGGGGGAAGCATGTTTGTTTAATGAAATTTCTAGTTGATGCTCTTTGATTGATTGATTTCTTGCAATTAAATTGGTTGACATAGTTTTGCATGAGATTGATTAGACTAGGAGTGATCAACCTATAAGATTAATCTAGATTGCATTGCAACTCTTAATGACATGAACAATGGAATTGAAAGTTGCTCTAATTGATTGGGTTTGCTTGTGATTCTTCTTGATTTGCCTTTCATAGTGACACCTAGATTGGCCTATAGGAGATAGCATTTGAACTCTCTTGATTGCTACTATTGTTTGTCCATTGCAATACTTTAATTAATTGATTGTTTGAGCTCTAAACTAGCATTATCATTGAACTTGCATGTGGAACCCATATCCCTAGTGTTTAGACCTTTGTTTTACTTGATTAGACTTGCTTTATTTTACCATAGTGCCAACCATAATTTCAACTCCATCTTCGAGGTAGCTTGACTTAGACTCTAGTTTTCATCATTGCATTCCCTAGGGATCGACCCTTAACTTGCCCTATATTCATATAAGGTTGGTTAGGTGTTTACAAATTTTGTTTGACTTGGGGAAAGGGTAGATAACGACATACATTTTCCCCCTTGTCAAAATGGCGCCGTTGCCGGGGAGTGCTATTGGTGCTTAGCTTTTGTTGTTGAGTCTACTTCATTTTAATTGAAAAAAAAAAATATATACAAAAAGATTTTGTTTCTTTAGGCTACACTTGTAGCCGTGCTACTAATATTTTCTTTGAAGTTTTGCATGCATAGAGCTCGTGATCGATCCATTGTGCCTTTTGACCTGGAAATTGAGAGGACTCTCTCAAGAAGAAGAATAACTAATCGATTCTCCTTGGGGTATAGTTCTTCAAGTGAAGAAGAGATTGAAGAAGAGAAAGGCATGGGAGAAA